GCATTTTTCTTTTTACTTATGCTTATATTTATTTTGAAGAGAATAACCTCATCTTTAGTTCTATACAAAAAATTGCTAATATAACGTATCTCATAACTCCTAAATCAATAGCCTAGTTTTCGGTTAGGAAAAGTCTGCTGCGGCGAAACGATTGGTTTACCACTTTTCTGTAGATACAAAGCTTTCCAATAATTTACTATTTACCAATTGTTGCTGTAATTCTTTGACTTGTCAATTTATCAGAATAATCTAAAACTAATTATACAGATAACTATTTGATTATTGCAAATAATTCTTTATTTTATGTGCCAAGTATGTGAATAGTTATTGAATTGTTTTATTTATTTATTTAAAGCTTAAGAAATACAAGAAAAAACAAAGGAATGCAGTGAACTCTGTTTATAAGCATAAGTAAAAAGAAAAATGCATAGACAAACGAAATATTCAAGATGGTGATATTGTTTAAGATTTGCATCTTTTTCTTTTTTTTTATAGCAAGCACGTTACAAATTAACCTACATAAATACAATCAACAACAACAACAAATCAAACACACACAAAAATACTACTACATGTAGCAGCCGTTCTCACCTGTTCAAAACAAAAATGAAACCATGAATCTTTGTTTTATAAAGAATCATATAAATTCAAGAAATTGAGAATGTCTATAAGAAAGAAAAAGCTTCAAATGAAAGCGCAGAGAAAGAGAATGTGTTAAAATATTAATAGTCAAAAAGAACAAAAAAAAAAAAAAATTTTCATTAAAACATTTGCAGTAGGCGTTCCAGGGTCACGTCCAGGTTGATTAAGAACATTAAATACAATCAAACAATCTGCAGAAAGACTTGCCATGATATATCTAAACCAAATAAAGAAAAAATATGTATATGTATATATTTCTGTACACACGAAAATTTGTATAAAACATGATAGTGAAAAAGAAAAAAAAGAGCTCTTTAATTATTTGCCTTTATTTTTGATCATGAGTTATTGCCAATGAACGAATACCAACATCACATTGTGAATAAGCACAAACAGGTTGTAAATCATGTGTTCGAATGATTTGTACAAAAACTCGATCACTACCAATAACTGTGTATTGACTATCTACATTTAAAACTTTAGACTAGACAAAAAAAATAATATAATGAGTATTTTTGTTTCTGTTTTTACTTGAATAGTTTCATGTTCAAATATTGCTTGTCTCGTTAATTTTCCATTTGATGTATATAGACATAATTTTGAACGATCATAACAAACAATAATATCATCATCAAATGATGGTGATAATAGACGTAGTATAGATATTTTTGATAGATTTCCAAATGAACGTAATATTATCACCATGAAGTGTATGTTGAAGTATAAGACTTTGTTCACTACTACTTAAAACAATATCAAGTTCAGCTGATATCCATAAACACGTTATTTCTCTATAATGTTCAGTTAAAATTGCTGCTGATGATGAATTGATTTTGTATACAAAAAAAAATTATAATATATTGATTTGTGTTTTTTTTTAAATTTAATTATAACCTTGATTTGAATATTCACGATCAACTATTGCACCTTTTGTTCCATTCTATATTCAAATACAAACTGTACAATCACGTGAATCAGTTGCAAGAAAATAATTTCCATCAATAGTTACTTCCGAACGGCATACACATGTAAAAATATCAAAATGACCATAGAGTACTTGTGTAATTTTTCCTATATCACTATTTTGTACACGACAACTTTTATATCAATAACCATTTGATATTATATAACGATTATCATCAGTAACAATAAAACTTTGATGTCGTTGTTGAATATGTTCATCAAAATTATCACCGAAATGATGCGACAATTTAAATTTATATTCGATACTAAATAAGAGAAGATATTCTTAGTGTTATTTATCTTTGAAGTTTGATATATTTCCTTCTGAGAATAAGATTGAAGTATCTATGATGAGCTTAAGTATAGAATTGATCTACCTAAAATTGAATCCATGTTTAATGGTAATTGTGTTTGTTGATGTATTGATGTTTGTGATAATCAGGCTTCGTAGTCGTCCTATATTTCCTATATCTTTGGAAATTGTCCTATAATGTCCTATTTTTCAGGAATTTTCCTATATTTCCTATATATTTGAAAAAAGTCAAGATTCTTTTAACATGATATATAAAGGATGT